TACAGTTCCTCATGTTGTGGTGACCCCAATTTCATTGTTATAAATTGAACATAATTAAAGCATAGTGATTAATCACAAAAACAATATGTAATTATATATGTGTTTTCGAATGATCTTAGGCGACCCCTGTGAAAGGGTCACAATCCACAGGTTGAGAACCACTGATCTATCTATATATAAAAGGCTAATATGCAAAGTGTCCCCTTGGGAATTCAACCAGGAGTTTGATCACTCACTATGACGTGTGCTGACCACCAGGGGGTGGCGCAGAACATAACGGGTGACCAGTGGCAGCGGCGGGGTGCTGAGGGAGCAAGGGAAGGAGGAGGCAGAGAGGCGGGGTAGAGGGGAACCTGATCAGCCCTGATCACCGGCCAGGCCTAGGGACCCTACCCGTGCACGAATTTTGTGCACCGGGTCTCTAGTAGATATCTATATCTATCTACTCGAGGTCCAGTGAACAAAATTTGTGCAGGGGGGGTCTCTTAGCACAACCTGCACCCTCTCCAATCCGGGACCCATCAGGGGATGTCTGACTGCCTCTCCCAATCCAGGAATGCTGGCTCCTAACCACTCACCTGCCTGCCTGCCTGATCACCCCTAACCCCTCTGCCTGCCTGATCACCCCTAACTGCCTTTGCCTCCCCACACCCAGGACCCAGGATTCCCTCCTCCAGCCGGTCGCAGGCACCTGGGACCCGGGCTTCCCTCCCTCTGACCGGCCGCAGCTGCAGGGGACTGTGGGCGGGCGGCTTCACCTGGGCTGCAGCCGCAGGCACCCAGGACCACAGGGCAGGCAGCTTGTCCCTCTCTGGGGCCGCAGCCCCAGCCACTGGTGCCTGGGACCTAGGGGCAGGTGGCTTGACCCTCTCCCGGGCCACAGGCACAGGCGCAGTCACTGGTGTCCAGGACCACAGGGACCACGGGGTGGGCGGCTTGTCCCTCCCCCAGGCTGCAGCCCCAACCACTGACGCCCAGGACCGCGGGGCGGGCGGCTTGTCCCTCTCTTGGCTGCAGGTGCAGGCGCAGCCGCTGGCGCCCAAAACAGCAGGGACTGCGGGGCGTGTGGATTGTCCCTCTCCCTGGCCGCAGCCTGGCTGGTCCCCATTCCTCTCTTGTGAGCTCATTTGTGCCTGGCTGGTCCCCATTCCTCTCTCCCCAGTGTTGAGTGTCTGAGCCATTACACCTTGATGGCATGATGGCATGACAACCATTTGCATATTAGCTCTTTATTATAGAGGATATATATATTAAGTGTATATATTTAAAAGATCTCTTATTTGTTTTTTAAAAGGAAAAGGACATTCATCATTTTCCAGCTATGAAATGTGGTACAATTGGGAAGGAGGATTAATGGAAAGCCACTGCAGGTAGACTTCTATAACATGTAGCAGAACATTAATATCTTAAATAACACAAATAGCTAACATCACTTTTATCACTATCTGTAGAAGTTAAAAGTTATGTATTTGTATTAAAAACACAAAACCGTCTCACCATTTTCCACCTAGGAACAACTGTATGTATTTAAGATGTCTGATTTAAGGAGCATTGAGTGGCTATAAGAAGCTATTTGGTATAAGAATTGAAACTAGATTTTTTGACTGGGTCAGTAACATTCTCAACTAAATGAATAAATGAATTAAACTTTATCCCAATTTCTGATTTTTATAAAATTATATGTAACAGCATGGCTTTATTTTGAAAAAGTATGATTCCTTTCTATGAATTCCTACTATTTATTTTCATTTAATCCTTATTGTATAAAAATCAATGCACTTCTAACAGTAACAAGTAATAAAAACCATATCATTTCTCATTAACTTTTTATTTTTAACTTAGATTTACAATAAACTGAAAAGATCATTAAAAAAATATCATCGCTGTCAATTTAAAAGTTTACATGAAGTTCATATTAAACAAAGCAGTAACACTATAGCCTATAATAACATCTTTATTTATATATACAAGAACTGTGTGCAAAGTGCTTTTCAAACTATAAAATAAGACTTTGGAATAGGATACAAAGAGTTAACCCTAGGAATTAATATTCCCTAACTGCTTGTAATGAATCACAACTGCTTACTTTCTTAATTTGCATTTTATTTCTTTATATACTAAGAAAAAAGCCACCATTTTTGATACCAGATTGATATCTAATTTTTAAAAATAATCCATGATTCATGGATCTAAACTTTTTCCCTAAATTGAGGAGTTTTTAAAATATTAGCCCTGGCCGGTGTTCTCAGTGGTTAGAGAATCAGCCCAGGCACCTAAGGGTCTTGGGTTTGATTCCTGGTCAAGGGCACATACTTGGGTTGCAGGTTCGATCCCAGGCCCCAGTTGGGGTGTGTGAGAGAGGCAACCAATCAAGGTGTGTCTTTCACATCGATGTTTTTCTCTCTCTTCCTCCCTCCCTCCCTCCCTCCTTCCTATTCTCTCTAAAAACCAATAGGAAAATTATCCTCAAGTGAGGATTAACAAAAAAAAAGACACACAATCATAGTAGATCCCTCTCTAGGGACACATTTTAATTAAGATGGGATTAAAAAATAAACATCAAGTTACATGAAAGGAAAAAAAGAGTCTTGGGAAAAGCAAATTGTATTCTTATACATTTTTCTTCAGGCAAACAAAGAACCACCCTCCATAAAAGAGATGTATTACTTTCTCTCTTATTGCAAACACTCTGAACACATGATGCTAAATCCAGTATCATACATATCAAGAACGCTTAAAACATTTGCTACTAAACCTTTAAATCAAAGATACCTTTAAAGTACAAAGTATATCTAAATAAGCAGATAGACAGGAAAAATAAGTCCAACCTAGCTGGTGTGGCTCAGTGGTTGAGTGTTGATGTATGAACCAGGAGGTCATGGTTCGATTCCTGGTCAGGGCATATGTCCGGGTTTCTGTCTCTATCCCTGGTAGAGGGCGTGCAGGAGGCAGTGGATCAATGATTCTCTCTCATTATTGATGTTTCTCTCTCTCTCTCCCTCTCCCTTCCTCTTTCTGAAATCAACTAAAAAATTATTTTTTAATTCCAAAGTTGTTAAAGATCTAAATTAGTCTTCTTTCTAGTTTAAATGTGAGAGGTAGAGGAGAGAAACTTAAATTTGCATTAATTGGGTATGCCTTATTCATATGGAAGTACATAGCCTGTTAGCTTACAAATCCTTTTAATATCCCTATGAAATAGGCATTTATCAAATATTATACCCCGACGAAAAACTGAGGCACTAAGAGGTTAAGAGTCCAGGCTGGGTAGTTTACCAGTTGCAGAAAAGTAATTTTCATGTGAATCCTTTTTGACCTTTGTAAAAACAGTATAAATAAGGTCTTTCATTTTATATTTCAAAGCACCTGATGAAGCAGAAACAAGATATACTCAGTTAAAAACAAATGATTACAAAGGAATAAATGTATAGGATTTAATAAAAATCTTATTAATGATCTGCAGGCTCAGAATAAATTTTCATACCTTAAGCCCATTCTTCATCTTTCCCATCAGAAAGTTATGTTTATTCTGTGAATCATTTGTAAAAACTAAGCCTCTTATATAGGGCTCTAGTTTATAATAATGTTGTTTGAACACTAAAGTCAGAGCTGTGAACACCCAACAAAGATCATAGAAGTTTTCCACTTCTTGACATGACAATTCAGTGACTAAGATATAAAGTCAATTTAATCTACTTGAAATTTACTTCTGGTTTGCATTCTTTCTCATATTTAATTTAGAAAATTAAAAATACCCAGTTATAAATCTAATCTCATTATCACAACTGTACCTAAGCAGCTTATATTTCTCTACAGGAGATAATCAGGTAAACATGTTACCAAACAATAATTAATAATTTAATGTCCTTCAAGTTCAAGGGTAGGGGAAATCTATGTATGCTTATAACCTAGTTGAGATTGATTATTCAAGTATCAGCAATATTAGTCCTTAAAATGTTATCATTGTGTAGTGCAAAATATATATGTATATATGTACACAAACCAAAGGATTGGACAACAAAAAGCAATGTAATAATCACAAACTAGGATTTTCTTGTGATTCCACAATCCATTTCCTTCCAAGGTCATCCAGGCCTAGTAGTCTTCTTGAGTAAAATACCATTTTCTTCAGTTCAGTTTTCTTTAAAAAGAAAGTAAAAACCAATTTCCTATGAATAAAAACGCAACCTGAATATGAAACACACCCCATGCCAAAGAATTCTCTAACATAATCCTAACATTCAAATTCAAAATAAAACCATAAACCCACAAATGATCCTTATAAACCTATTTCATGTCACTTATAGTTCAATAGGAAAGATCTAATTGCAAGTGCTGATATTATCAAATGGTTTATAATAAATAATTTAAATATATATTCCTCCTCCCACAGCTTCTAAATTCTCAACCTTTTCTAGTTGGCTATTACAGTTCAGATTTTTTTGCATTATTTAATAATTTATGAAATTGGAAAGGCTGTGAAACAAAATAGCTTAATAAAACGACAACAAGTTGACAGATGTACAATCTGGACTATTAATTTAATTAATATATATTATGCATCTGTTACATTTTGGGCACTGTGCCAGGCACTGGGGATTTAAACATAAATGAGGCAGGCTCTCAACCCTCAAAAGACCTCTTGGTTTAATAGAGGGGGGGATATATATAAACCAACAATTCAGATATGTATAATGCGATGGTTTTAATGATAGCAGAGTGAATGAGGTATCAGAGAATTGGTGGGCTTATTATCACAAGACACAACAATCACATGTGATCTGAGTTCTGAGAAAGATTCCCCGAGCTGTAAATAAAATCTCTATACCCTCCCAGCACTCAAGATGCCAAAATGGCTGAAACTGTCTCAGCACAGATTCATTCCTCTCCTCTGTGGAAATGTTCATATACAACCCCTTTGGCGGAAGTGATATTTTAAATAATCAGATCATTCCTTATCCTGTGAACAAATCTTCTTAGTTATACCTCCTTGGCAGGAGTGACATTTTAAGTAATCAGATCAACCCTTGCTGGTTTAGCTCAGTGGATAGAGCGATGCCCTGAGGAACGGAAGAGTCCCGGGTTCGATTCCGGTCAAGAGTATGTACCATGGTTGCGGGCTCCTCCCCGGCCAGGGCCCTAGTGGAGGCACATGCAGGAGGCAACCAGTTGATGTGTTCCTCTCACATTGATATTTCTCTCTGTCTTTCCCTCTCTCTTCCATTCTCTCTATAAATCAATAGAAAAATATTCTCGGAGTGAGGATTAAAAATAAATAAAATAATAATAATAGCAATAATCACATCAATTTTCATATAACTCATGGCATAAAGAAAAAAGGCCCCTGCAGGAATAAAACTGTAGGTGGTTCTAAAGACTCAAGTGCCTGAGCAAGTTTTTAGCAGAAATGTTAGCTGGAAGGTGCTTGAACAGTTAGCAAGATTTATCAAGAACCAGTGTAATGCAGATTACTACACGAAGTCTTTTGCAGCCTGGCTGGTATGGCTCAGTGGTTGAGTGTGGACCTATGAACCAAGAAGTCACTGGTTCGATTCCCGGTCAGGCACATGCCTTGGTTGCCGGCCCAATCCCCAGTGGGGGCCGTGCAGGAGGCAGCCAATCAATGATTCCCTTTGATCATTGATGTTTCTATCTCTCCCTCTCCCTTCATCTCTGAAATCACCTCTGAAAAAAATAAAAATATTTTTTTAAAAAATCCTTGGCAGCTCTTCCCTCTTGCGGCCATCATAGAAGCACCAGCAGTCAAAATGAAGTTCAATCCCTTTGTGACTTCTGACCAGAGCTAGAACCATAAAAGGCATTTCAATGCACCTTCCCACATTTGAAGGAAGATTATGTCTTCTCTTCTTTCCAAAGAGCTGAGAGAGAAGTACAATGTTCAATCCATGCCCATCCAAAAGGATGATGAAGTTCAGGTTGTTCGAGGACATTACAAAGGGCAGCATATTGGCAAAGTAGTCCAGGTTTACAGGAAGAAATATGTCATCTACATTGAACCAGTGCAACAGGAGAAAGCTAATGGTACAACTTTTCATGTGGGCATTTACCCCAGCGAGGTAGTCATCACTAGACTAAAGCTGGACAAAGACCGCAAAAAGATCCTTGAACGTAAAGCCATATCTCACCAAGTAGCAAAGGAGAAGGGAAAATACAAGGAAGAAACAATTGAGAAGATGCAGGAATAAAGTAATATTATATACAACTTTCATTAAAAACTTAAAATGAAAAAAAAAAAGCCTTTGCAGATTTATACAACTTAGTCTATAAATCCTAATCCTCTACATTATTCTATGACAGTGGGGAAATAGAGTGGACATCACTCTCTTCAGAACTTTAGAATGTTTTTCAGCCTCTTAATGAAATCTCTCTCCTTTTTTTTTAAATTAACTTGCAAAATGCAGGGTATGGTGTGATAGGGAAGAAAATATACAAAAAACAACAAATAAGGGAATAGGAATAAAATTCTGCCCCAGCCCATTGAACTCTACTCTGGTTGTACCGCTGAGATTCTTTTTCCTCCTCAGAAGCACAGGCCTGCCTTTTTGGGCCGGTACCATCTTCACCAGGCCCCACTGAAGAGTGTTTCTCCTGAGATCCTCTCCAACCCTGCCTAATTTGGGGTGATTATTTTTTTAGGAGTACGTTTATTGAAGCTGGGGACAGTGAAACGAGGAAGGGCTTAAGATAAAAGAAGCAACAGGAGAGAGCCTAGGCAGGGCTGCTTTGACTCACCAAGAAGTAAAAGTCACAAGGACAGAAGTGAGCCAAGGTGGGGCTGCTATCGGCTCACTGGAAAGTCAGAGAAAAAGGGGCCGTGAGGACTGGGCCAGGGGGTTAGCCCAGAAGAAGTTGCCAATGCCCATTGCTCCCCTGGTCACAAGTCTCCAAGTCTTCTAGGGACCTTTAGAGTTTTAGGATAAAGAGACTTCACTCAAGCCCTGGCAGGTGTTGTCCAATGGTTAGAATGTTGGCCTGAACATCGAAGGGTTGCCAGTTCGATTCCTCGTCAAGGATGTATACCTGTGGTGCAGGTTTGATTCCCCGGCCCCAAATGGGGGACGTTTTGGAGGCAACCAATCATCTCTTTCTCTTTCTCTCCCTCCCTCCCTTCCTCTCTCTCTAAAAATCAATGGAAAAAATATCCTTGAGTGAGGATTAACAACAACAAAAAACCACACAAGAAAATTCACTTGAAAAGGAGATTCAAGTAGGTGTGCTACAAGGAGGGCTCGCCTTTCCCAGGTTTGTGCGTGTGTGTGTGTGTGTGTATTTTAATATATTTTTATTGACTTCAGAGAGGAAGGAAGAGGGAGAGATAGAAACATCATGATGAGAGAGAATCATTGATCGGCTGCCTTCTGCATGCCCCTACTGGGGAGAGAGCCCACAACCCGGGCACGTGCCCTTGACCAAAATCGCAAAATTGAACCTGGGAACCTTCAGTCCTTAGGTTGATGCTCTATTCACTGAGCCAAACCAGCCAGGGCCCTACCTAGTTTTTAATGACTATGTTTCTACTGAAAGCTCAGTATTTCCAAAGAAACTATGACAGCAAATTTATTAATCTGAGCAGACTGATAAAGAAAAATAGTCAGAAAAAGTAATACATTAAGAGTAGTCATTTGGACTTAACAGGTCTGCTTTTAGTATTTAAGTCATAGATAATTTATTATCATTATCATTATTACTATTATTTTCCCTTTTTCAAATTTTATTTTTTTCACATTTTTAAAATTTTTTTCAAATATATTTTATTGATTTTTTACAGAGAGGAAGGAAGAGGGATAGAGAGTTAGAAACATCAATGAGAGAGAAACATCGATCAGCTGCTTCCTGCACACTCCCTACTGGGGATGTGCCCGCAACCAAGGTACATGCCCCTTGACCAGAATCGAACCTGGGATCATTGAGTCCGCAGGCAGATGCTCTATCCACTGAGCCAAACCAGTTAGGGCTATTTTTTTCACATTTTAATTGTATTTCTTTTTAAAATACATTTTTATTTATTTCAGAGAGAGGAAGGGAGAGGGAGATAGAGATAGAAACATCAATGATGAGAGAGAATTATCAATTGCCTGACTCCTGCATGGTCCCTACTGGAGATCAAGCCCACAACTCAGGCATGTGCCCTGACCAGGAATCAAACTGTGACCTCCTGGTTCATGGGTCGATGCTCAACCACTGAGCAACACCAGCTGGGTACATTTTAATTGTACTTTATTTTTTCCATTACCTTTTATCACCTCTATGCCTCTTCCACCTCCACCCATCACTTTCCATTCCACTCATGGATAATTTTAATAGTAGAATTATGAGGTTAGGTAACTGGGGAGAGGTGGCACTACAGGAGACTGTTCAGGGCCTATTTTTGAACAGATTTGCAAGTATTCTTCATCTTCATATCACATACAGAAAGAAGATTTTTCTAATCCACTGCAAAGTAATGTGAGAAATCTTTTACTTTTAAATTTACATTCTTCTATCCTAGGGGGTATGGAGAGGGTTCAAGCAGTGGACCTTATTACTATTAATGTTAAAAAAATGTTTTAAAGCTCACCACAAAATACAGTGGGGCCTTGACTTAAGAGTGTCCTGACTAACGAGTTTTTTGAGATACCAGCTGTCTCTCGGCCGATTTTTTGCATTGAATTGATAGAGTAATTTGAGTTAACGAGCTCCTTAACGAGCTCGGTCTCGGAACGAATTAAACTCGTAAGTCAAGGCCCCACTGTAGCCATTTATGTTCCATATGTATAGGATTATCTCAGTGTGTCTGTTTGAGTCCAGATGCACATTTATTAGATAAAATTAAAGCTTTTTTATATCCTATGGCACTTCAGTTTGCCATCCTGCCAATAGTGAGCTTCAGCACACAGTTCTGAAAGCTTACTACATACCACACACTGTAGTAGGGGATGAGGTACAGGATGGTCCCTATTATGAGTAGGGCAAATCATCTCCTGCTCACACTTTTCCCTTCCTAACAGGATTCTTGATCTTCCTTTTCATCTCCAAAACAGACCTAGCTCCTCCAAACCATACACACTGGTTTCTAATCTTTATTCCTGAAACGTCAGATTAAATATTGTTAAACCCTGCCAGATCAAACCTTGCCTAAATCCCCCCAAGGCAAAAATTTATTTCAAAA